ATGAGAGTGTCGGAGCAGAGTGATAATAGGCTAAGGAAAACTCTTATGAGAACTCTTGTAGGCCAAGTACGTAATTTGCAAGCATTTGAAACTATTTTAAGTGTTTTTTTAATACTAAAATTACACGTTTTGCCTTCCAAATAATGAGTCTTTGAATATAATTTGTGGAATATTATGACATGAAATATAAATTTATGTCTCGTGAAAAGTTAGTATTTCTCATGAAGGGCATAAATTAAAGACCGACCAGCACAAAGAAATGACCTCTTTTTTTGTCAAAACTATTTTTATGTTCTAAAATTGCAAATGGCTTTGAGAAAAAGTTCTTTTTTAGAATTTTTATTTGTTTTATCAAAAGAAAATGTGTTTTGCTTAATAAACCATAATTTTCAAATTTTATTACTTTGACCCTACCGTTTGTATGCTTTATCTCTCTATTATTCCCTCTGTTTTAATTTGTGAGTCTTAAATTTCCTTTTTAGTATGTTTAGAAAAATGCTACTCCTTATTACTTTTGGCTTGTTTCAATTTATTTGTTTGATTTTAACTTGACACGAAATTTAAGAAAGTAAAAAATATTTTTGAATTTTGTAGTGTTAAACTAAAGATATGTGGCATGTACCTAAATGTCGTTTAATCTTGTGACCTTAAACATGCTAAATTTGCTAAAAAAGAAAAGACATTCTTTTTTGAAGCAGACTAATAAAGAAAGTAAGACAAACAAATTGAAACGAAGAGAACATATTTAGTAACTCAACATATTTAAAATCATAAGATTCAAAAAACATTTCGATGCATTGTAAACATTGTTAGATTAAGGCCATAAGCCAAGATTTTGAAGTCTTTACTTATTTTCTTCATACACAATCAAACTAAGACACATAAATTGAAACAGACTTAGTATATGTTTCTTCCTTAAATACTAGTAACATTATTATTGTCTAACTCATAATGCTTGTAATGTTTGCATCCTAGCATTACATTAGTACCTCAAATGGAAGAATTTTTGTGCAGATTGGGAGGAGAGCAGAGACAATAATCTTACCATTGGAGCTTTTACGCCACCTTAAACCATCCGAATTCAACGATCCTCAAGAATACCATCTATGGCAAAAGCGTCAGCTTCGTATCCTGGATATAGGCCTACTCCTTCACCCTTCTATCCCAGTAGAAAAAGACAATGCATCTGCATCGCGATTACTAGAGATCATTCAAGCTTGTGAGATCAAAACAATCGACACTAGCAAGAATTCCGAGACCATGAAATCACTATGTAATGCAGTAGTCTCCTTAGCTTGGAGAAGTGTTGATGACACTCCTAGTGATACATGTCGTTGGGCTGATGGATTCCCTCTCAACATCCACATTTACACGGCTCTCTTAGGCTCGATATTTGATCTTAAAGACGATACTTTAGTCCTCAATGAGGTTGATGAACTTCTTGAATTGATGAAAAAGACATGGTCTACATTAGGTATTACTAGATCAATTCATAACTTGTGTTTTACATGGGTGCTTTTCGAGCAATATGTTGTGACTAACCAAGTCGAGCCTGATCTTCTTGGTGCAACATTGACTATGTTAACGGAAGTTGCAAATGATGCTAAGAAAGTAGACAGGGATCCTATTTATCTTAAGATGTTAAAGAGTGTTTTAGGCTCGATGAAACGATGGTGTGAAAAGAGATTGTTGAATTATCATGCCAGTTTTCACGCGGAAAATATTGGCCTAATGGAAAATATTATCCCTCTTATGTTCTCTGCTTCGAAAATATTAGAGGAAGATGTTCCGGGATATGTATCTTCTGCTGCTGAGAAAGGGGATGTGAAAGATGATTCAACGGGGAATCGAGTGAATCACTTTATCCGTTCATCGTTAAGGACTGCATTCAATAAGGTTTGTATTTTAGTACTTCTATCAATAGATGTATATATGTTCAGTTCTAATAAAAACGTTAACATCGCTGTTTTTTTCATCTAGATGTTGGAAGAACGGAATATAAACATCACAACTTTTGAAAATGACGATGTGATAGAGACACTCATCAAGTTAGCTAATGCAACTGAAGAATTGGCAGCTAAGGAGAAGGAAGTTTTCACTCCCGTCCTCAAGAAATGGCATCCGATTGCAGCCGGTGTTGCAGCAGTGACGTTACATACTTGTTATGGAACTTTGTTAAGGCAATACCTTGCAGGTACAACATTCCTCACGAGTGAGACAGCGTTAGTGTTGCAGAGGGCTGGGAAACTCGAAAAGGTTTTAGTCCAAATGGTGGTGGAAGATTCTGTAGATTGCGAGGACGGAGGCAAACTGATGGTGAGGGAGATGATTCCTTATGAAGTTGACTCAATCAAAATTAATTTATTGAGGAAATGGATCCAAGATAGTTTGAAGAAAGGGAAAGATGTTCTTGTGAGATCAAAAGATTCTGAAGTAAGTCATTTTGTTACTTTTACTATTTATTAATAGGGGCTTCTATAGTCATACTAAAAGTAATTAACAATAGGGCAGCCCAGTGCATAAAGCATCCCTGTTTACACAGGTTCGGGGGAAGGGACGTACCCAAGGGGGCTTCTTCACTCAAAGAGGCAATGCGCCCTTTGTTTGAATGGTACTTAGATTCATAAAGAATGATTCTTTTGAAATTATACGGACAGTCTAAAAAAAGAATGTCAGCTTACCGTGATGCAAGCATGAGTGGCTGATTCCACAACTTGAACACATGTCACACGGGGACAACTATACTGTTTTAATGCAAAATATTTTGTTATGCAGACATGGAATCCAAAATCCAAAAGTGAGCCGTATGCACAATCAGCAATTGATCTAGTGAGACATTCCAAGGAAGCAGTGGACAATTTCTTCGAAATTCCTACAATCATCACTGAGAATTTGGTTAACGATATCACTGATGGCATCGAGAACTTATTCAAAGATTATGTGATCTTTGTTGCATCATGTGGTAAGAACAAGTTCAACGAACCTTATTCGTTCAAGTATTTTGATGCGCGAGTCATTTTTTGATAGTCATAATCTCTCTGCAGGGGCTAAACAGAACTACATGCCTGCACTTCCTCCTTTAACAAGATGTGGCCAAGACACAAAATTTGTGAAGCTGTGGAAGAAAGCTGCCTGTAGTGTCGGATCAAACGATCCAAACCAGCATTTGACAGACGAAGATAACAATCCCCGTCCTTCAACAAGCCGAGGAACTCAACGCCTTTATGTAAGGCTTAACACCTTGCATTACCTCCTTCAACAGCTCAATTCCCTCGACAAGACTCTATCGCTCTCCTCAAGAGTCATCGCTTCACCAGGAAGCCGTTACAACAAGAACAGACAGCTAGCATGCTGTTCCTTTTTCGATCAAACACGTTCATCCATTCAAGCATCTGTCCAACTCGTATCAGAAGTAGCTGCTTATCGTCTAATGTTCTTCGATTCCAACTCTGTCTTCTACGCTAGCCTATACGTAGGGGACGTAGAGAATGCACGTATCCGTCCAGCACTAAGGATACTCAAACAAAACCTAACTCTTTTGTGTGCTATCCTCACTGACCGGGCTCAACCATTAGCGCTTAAAGAAGTCATGAGGGCGTCTTTCGAGGCATACCTAATGGTTTTACTAGCCGGTGGACCGCGTAGAAACTTCTTGAGGATGGATCATCAAATGATTGAGGAAGATTTTGAAAGTTTAAAGAGGGTGTTTTGTACTTGTGGTGAAGGTTTGATACTAGAAGATGTTGTGGAAAAAGAAGCTGCAATAGTTGAAGAGATAGTGTCTTTAATGGGACAATCAACAGAACAATTGGTTGAAGATTTTAGCAATTTGGCTTGTGAAGCAAGTGGAGTTGGAGTTGTTGTGGGAAATGGACAAAAATTACTTATGCCACCAACAACAGGAAAATGGAATAGAACAGATGCTAACACAATCTTGAGGGTACTTTGTCATAGAAATGATAAAATTGCTAATAATTTCTTGAAGAAAACATTCCACTTGGCAAAGAGGAGGGGATGAAAAATATTTGGTCTTAAAAAAAGCTATGTCACTTGGACCCTCTGTTGTCGTACCTGTGTCAGATCCTCCAAAAATCACACACCAAATGGTATGTTTGAAGAGTCAGAGCAACATAAGCCTAAAAAACGAAAAAAGAGAGGTTTCACTTGTACAGAAAAATCAAGAAGTAAAATTTTCTAAGTATATATGCTATTAATTAAAGTTTTATTTTTATTTGAAGGATGTAAAGTAAAGCCTTCTAGACTATAAAAAGTTTGTAACTTTGAACTAAAAATTTTCTAAGTATATATGCTATGAAAGTTGTTTTTTTTTATTTGAAGGATTGTAAAGTAAAGCCTTCTAGACTTTAAAAAGGTTTGTAAATGAGTATCTTGAGAAAATTGTACAATGTTTTTGATCTTGTTTTCTAAATCACTCAAGAGAGATAACTACTTTGACAATATATATACTTGTATAAGCTATTTAAGTGTCATTAAATCTCGTGGTTTAAACATGACATGCAATTTTTATAAGAAAGTTTCTAATAATTCAATGAATTTTGGAAATATTCTTTTCAAAACAAATTTTAAAATAGAAGTAAGACATATAAATTAAATCCGAAAGAGTATATTAAGTCAAAATCTTTTTTTGAGATAGTAGTAAAAAAAAAAAACCTGAATTATTAAGTTTTTTTTTAATTATTCAGGTATATTTTTAGGGATATTTTCAACACTTCTCTCGTCTTTTTATCAAGAGGTCATTCTCCTACAAAAGTTTGAGACACTATGTCATAAGACAAATCGACGTGTATGTAGGTTCAATTAGTTAGTTTAAAGACGAAATAAATAATTTACGTCAAGTTCACTCGTAAATTTAACATCAGCCTTTGGCCCACTTTAATAGATCGACGCTTTACAGCTATTAACATCACAAGGAGTTTTCACAAACATAATGAACTAGCCGTTACCAATCTAACGTTAAACACTTCAAAAACATTAAAAAAAAAATACTAACTTTTTGTGTTCTTTCACTTTCCCCCTTTTCCATTTTCTTAGCTCAGACAAATTCTCAAATCCCAATCCTCAATCTTGAAATTTTCTGCAAAAATTTCTGTTTCCAGTTCTGACAAGAGCAAAAAGATTGAATCTTGATTTGGGTTTTTTTGAATTTAAGCAGTTTTGGTCTCCAATGGCGCCGACACCGAAAAACCAGAGAACCCCAACTCCATTTTCAAAGTTAAATCTTACCCAGATACCCAATTCAAGAACACCACAAGCAAAACACAGATTGAATTTCACCACAGCAAAACCGAATTCTGTAGCCCCTGTTGCAGCAGCAGCGGCAGAGCATCCTATTGAAGTTATAGGAAGAATTCGTGATTACCCGGATAGGAAAGAGAAGCCTTTATCGTCGTTACAGGTGAATCCTGATCGCGAGACGTTAAGAGTGAAAACTGATGGAGGATATAGGGATTTTAGCTTTGATGGTGTGTCATTGTCTGAAGAGGAGGATATTGATGAGTTTTACAAGAAGTTTGTGCAGTCGAGGATTAATGGAGTGAAATTGGGAGATAAATGTACTGTTATGATGTATGGACCGACGGGGGCTGGAAAAAGTTATAACATGTTTGGGAGTTCTAAGCAGCCTGGGATTGTGTATAGGTCCTTAAGGGATATATTAGGTGATGGGATTGAAGAAAATGATGAGAATAATGAGAAAATTAGTGTTGGAACATTTGTGCAAGTTACTGTTTTGGAGATATATAATGAGGAATTATATGATTTGTTGTCAACAAATAATGGTGGAGGGTTTGGTTTTGGATGGTCTAAAGGGAGTTCTTCTAAGGTAAAAATTTGATTTTTTTACACTTTTTTTCTGATTGATGCATTGATCTTTCGAAATGTAGTTCATTTTACACTTCTAGTAATTGTTGTTGTTGTAGTAGTATTGAGCATGTTTAAGAAAAGGCTCTAATTTCTCTTAATTGATGTTAACTACTTGGTAAACTTGGTGTTTATCCTTATTGAGCACGTCTAGACATGAGTTGAGCTTAAATGGAGAAACATGGCTAGTGAGGATTCATATAGCTACCAACCTGTTTGGGATAGAGACATAGTTGTTATTGTATTCAGCACCTTATAGAAAATGCTCTAGTTTCTCTCAATTGATGAAATAGACTTCTTGGTATCTATCCATAGAGCATGTTTAGACATGAGTCGATCTTAAACGGGATAACATGGTAAGTGAGTATTGAGGTTGTTGTTGTTGTTATTGTATTGAGCACATTTTAGAAAATGCTCTAGTTTCTCTCAATTGGCGGAATAGACGGACTACTTGGTTACTTGTAAAAGGAGCAGGCATCTATACACATATCTATTCTTTTTATATTTTTGCAACATTTTCTCACTTAATGTATATCTAGTATCTCTCCTCAGATGAAAATTGACTTTGCATTTTGACCTCAGTATGTGTTATACACATATCGATACTTGACTTTCAATCGACGATGTTGTCATTAAGTACTGAATGCTAATGATTTATATAACTTCACTTAATTCTTGAACTGACAATGTTCTATAGTACTTTGCCTAATTCCTTGGTACATATTTTTGCCATAACACCATTGATCTTGTCATTATTGATCCGTATGCCTAACACAACTACACAAGTCAGAATTTAGGATATGCTAAAGTTGGGCAGGAGATGGCTTAGGCTTAGAATGTCAAATTCGAAAATACGAAAGCTATTACTACTTGCTATGTATTTCTCTGTATAATGCTGGCCCTGTGTTTTACCTTTGCAGGTGAGACTTGAAGTTATCGGTAAAAAGGCAAAAAATGCAACTTTTATTTCCGGTACTGAGGCTACAAAGATATCAAAGGAGATCCAGAAAGTGGAGAAGAGAAGAACAGTGAAAAGCACTTTATGCAATGAGCGGAGCTCTCGGAGCCACTGCATGGTATCAATTCGGAATCTATGTTTAACAACGTTTAAATGGAAACAAGTTCATTATTTTCTGTTTTCAGCAAGGATATCTGTCTTCATCTTTTATAAAGGAAGCTAAATGTTGTTGCAGATGATTATTGATGTTCCAACGGTTGGAGGGCGGTTAATGCTTGTCGATATGGCTGGTTCTGAGAATATAGAACAAGCTGGTCAAACTGGTATGGAAGCAAAAATGCAGGTAAAGTTTCACGTTTTACTCACCTCGGTTCATTGAAGTTTGTTATCGGATTTCCTACGAACAGTAACTCAAGATATATGAATACCTGCTGATGCATTTATCTCCTTTTAGTATCTGACAAATCAAATTATGCAGACTGCAAAGATCAATCAGGGAAACAGTGCATTGAAAAGGGTGGTTGAGTCCATTGCTAACGGTGATTCCCACGTGCCTTTCCGGGACAGCAAGTTAACTATGCTCTTACAGGTATGTCTCGTGCACATCACAGACTTATGTTGCTTGGATCCTCCAAAACTGATGCCGCACCCATATCGGATCATCCAAAATGAATAACTTTTGGAAGATCCGACACACACCGACATCATTTTTTAAGGACCTCCGAGCAACATAGCCATAGACGGTTTGGGACTTGTACTAATTGTTGTAAGAAATTGATTCAACTATATTTCATGCAGGATTCCTTTGAGGATGACAAGTCCAAAATTCTCATGATACTGTGTGCCAGCCCGGATCCTAAAGACCTCCACAAAACTATCTCTACTCTAGAGTATGGTGCTAAAGCAAAATGCATTGTCCGTGGCCCTCATACGCCGTTGAAGGAGAACGGTGCAGAAGATTCTTCATCAGCGGTTATTTTGGGATCGAGAATTGCAGCTATGGATCAGTTTATCTACATGCTTCAGATGGAGAACAAGCTCAAAGAGAAAGAGTGTAATGAAGCTAAGAGAAAGCTTATGAAGAAAGAAGAAGAAATTGCTACATTAAGGTCTAAACTTGAGTTAGTGTTACAAGGAGGGGTGGAGACAACCGAGGAGGATATCATTGTTAAAGTAAACGAGCGAACTCAGATGCTGAAACGTGAATTTGAATATAAGATACAACAATGCCAGAAAATGGCAAATGAATTCGTAGAGACGGAAAGGAGGAAGATGGAAGAAAGAATGTTTCAACAGCAACAAGAGTTTGAAATGCTTAGAAGGCGGTTGGAGGAGATTGAGTCCGAGCTTTGGCATTCAAGGGTTGGCAGCAGATCAACAGAAGTGGAGGAAAACAGCTTTGGGAAAAGACTACTGGAGATGTACTCTGAAGACGTGGGGATGGTGAAATCTATGGATTTGGACAGATCTATTGATATGGACTGTGGAAAGAAAGCAGAAAGTAACACAATTCAGGCAATTTTGGGCTATCCTAGCATAACCAATCCAAGAGAAATTGAAGATCCTTCTATCTTATTGCAACATTTCACCAACAAATCATTCTTGAGCACCGTGTTCGAGGAGGAAGAAGAAGGTAACGACAGTGAAGGGGATAAAGAGAATCCTTATGTCGAGGAGGTGCAAAAAGAGGTTATTGAGGAAAAGACAATATGTTCTGGCAATGTAAGTACAGTAGAAGATCGTTCCGATGATCTTTCTAGTGACAACACAGCCCCTTCCAGAAAAGAGCTAATTCAAAATATATTCAAACTCTGCGGAAATTCTAGAGAACTCTCTCAGCAATGTACTACCCCAGTGGCTGCAGAAAAGAGAGTTAAAGACATCGAATCAAAATCACCTCCAGTTAAAGAGATTGTAGAGGATTCACCTATAACAAAAAATCATAATTTCTCTACTGAGAAAGTAAATGATTCAAAGGAGAACTTCAACCCGAATTTAGAGTTGAAATGGGAAGCTGCATCAAAGGAGAATCCCGAAATTATCACTACACTAACGGGTAGTTTGGTTTGAAGACGAGTTATGATGGGTTTAGTTGTGCTGAGACTATTTATCCTGGATTACTTATCCTGAGATGATTTGTTATTGTTTGTATCCTTTGTTGTATTAAAGATAATAGGCATTGTATTCTTTCTGAGAAAAAGTTGTTTGTTTACGAACATACACTCCACCTTATTTAACTTCTATATTATTATTTTTATAGAACTTTTGTTATAGGCATTTGCAATGTCCACAAAAGATTAATTATTTTCTACAATTTATTTTTAACCTTGTCCAAAATATGCAAAAACTTGATATATCTACAGCATGCATATATAATATGATGGAATTGGAATGTTTTCCACTTGGCGGAAGATATTTTGGAAGCATTTTAATCTTAATGTATTATTTTTTTTAATATATAGGATTTGATTGCTAAACAATCATAATTAAACTACAATTAAATAAGCATAGAGGGATAAAAATTGCATTAAAATAACCATAAAAAGTGGATCAAAACTCACCAAAATCTCCATCAAAGCAACATTAAAAAAAGTGACTTATAAGTTATGTCCTCAAAAAATTTATTACTTTCAAATCGAAAAAATCAAAAAATCGAACCAAATTGACTGTGACCAAACCGACGGTTATTTATTTTTTCGTTTGGTTTGGTTTGATTTTAGGAATTAAAAAACCAACTAAATTGGTTTGGTTTTGGTTTTATAAACTAATAACCAATTCAAACCAAACCATGAACACCCCTAGGCATAAGTTCTTTAGAAACTGAAGTCCTGCGAGGGGCATAACTTGGGAATATTATAATACACAAATATATATATTTTCGTCCCTCTTACATTTATTTAGTTATGTTATGAGGGGCATCAGTGTCATTGACCGGTTACGTTTAAATCTAAATGGATTAGACTAATTATATTTTTATGGGCTAATTTTAAGTAAATAGGCTGGACTGATTCTATTTTCATTGGCTAATCTTGTTAGACTTGTTCCACCCCAAAAAGTTGGAGTACACTCTATAAAGACACTAAAAACTCAAGGGAGTATTCAAGGCCTTGGAAAGGTTCAATGGAGCAAAGCATGAAAAACATGAGAATTAATGAAGAAGAAAAGGAGGTAAGAATTCTCAATTTATAAATATATATATATATATTTTTTGTTTGTTATTCAATTTTTCTAGTGTTGGATTTTGTGTTTTTGGTAGTGGTAGGTATGAATGTGGGGGTGGGGTAGGGTGTGAGATCTTATTTGCCACAATTTTAACATTTCGAGCTCTCAGTGGCGGATTCAGGATTTAGTGAGAATGAGTGTACGATCAGGAAGAGGTGGATTTAAGATATAAATTTGATATAACATATTGTCAATGGGTTCAACAGATCTCATTCAATGGATCACAATAATTTCAACATGAATATAGCCAATATATATATATGTAAAAAATTATTTATTTTGTAAATCACTATGTTGATTCTTGAATCTCATCTTTGATAAGTTGGATCACATGTTATATATTTGATTTAGGAGTGATCTTGGTTAGGGAAGGCCGAGACGACGCCTTACGCTCACATATATGGGTAGCAAGCTGAGGGCGCTTATGACCTGACGGTAGGGCCCAACCAAATAGGAACATCACACACCCCACTTCAAGAGCACTTATGTATTGACTGAGTCATTCTTTTGGTAGTCTAGTCGGCTAAGTTGTGCAGACTCTTCCTTTTTCAATGTCACACTCGTGTCGGATTCTCCATAAATACACTACTTTTGGAGAATCTGACATGCACCCGTTGACATTTTTGAAGAGTCCGAGCAACATAGCTAGTCTGTGGAACTGGTGAACCATGCTAGTTGGTTACATGTGTGGGGTAGAGGGCTCATAGTATCCCCTTTGATTGATCTAGCCTTTCCTTCGCTTCAGTAATGAATCACCTACCAGAGAGACAAGCCGTGGACTCTTTCATTAGGTACGGGAACAATGGGCCTAAGCACGACAAATGTTGTACAGTTGAGTGGCATAGGATTTTGACGACATGATTTTTACCTTAAATTTTTTGCATTTTCCGACCTTTTCATCTGTGCTAGAGTGATTCCGTTTGCTGGTGTTTATGATTGTTAACTTAACACATGTTAAGTACCGCTATTTGCAGCAATATATACACATTTTGCTTTTGTTTATCTTCTTGCAGATGACTATATACTTGAAGATCAATAAAACAGTTGCTTTAAGAGTTAAGGAATCAGACAGTATCGGAAACATCAAATCTTTATTACATGATAAGGAGGGCATACCGGAATATCTTCAGCATCTAGTTTCAAAAGGAGTTGAGCTAGCAGACGAACTAAAGCTAGTCGATTATGGCATTACCAAGAACTCTCTCCTTCATGCTTCTATCGACAATTCTGTCTCGAGGATATTTTTTGTGAAGAGACCCTACGCTATAGATGCAATTACGGTGAGTTCAAGGATTTCGGATACTATCCAGGATGTCAAATATAGGATTGGGGTCAGTGAAGGAGTAGAATCTATGGAATTTTCTCTTATTCATGATGGAAGGTTTCTTGATGATGACAAAACTTTTGTTTTTTACAAAATCGATGGTGGATCAACGCTTCATATGGTTTTGTATCCAAGAGACAAGTTTCTTATTTCCATGGTAATGCCATGGGAGAAAATTGTAAAGATAGAAGTCAAGGCTGCCTTAACTGTTCGTGACATGAAAAGAAGTTTAGAGAGCAGAGTTGGCTACCCAAAAAATTCTATGGATCTGTTTTTGGGAAAACAGAAATTGGAAGATTCAAAGACATTATATCAGTGTGATATCAACGAAGAGTCCGTCATACTGGTAAAGTGTAGAACAATGCAGATCTTTATCAATACGGGTGATGGAAGTACTACACTAGACGTGCACAGGCACGAGTTGATCAGGAATGTGAAGCTCATGATTCTAAAGAAGCTAAAAATACCGGTTCATCTGCAAAAACTTATCTATGCGGGAAAATGTCTGTTAGATCACCGTGATTTAGCTAGCTACAATGTTACAAGGGAATCGAATATCATCTTTGATATACGACTTCCCCCTCCTGCAAACATCTATGAAGGATCATTACCTTATTTTATGAGTTACCAACCGGAATCTAACATGAGGTGTTACCACCAGACAAGTTTACGTAAGATTAAAGGTGTGGTTTCCAGATTTACATCCGTTGCTCATTTGAAGGCGTTGATCAAGTACGACTTAAAACTAAATGTGAAGGAACTATATCTACGCGGCAAGCTTTTGAACGACTTATGTTGTCTTGGTAAGTATGGAATTACAAAGAAAACAGAGTTGGGAATCCTTTGCTGATTGTTCAGACAACTTAGTTATGTAGTATATAAAGACAGAAAGTGTCTGTTTTTGCTGCATTTTTTTGGTTTGGTTACAAATATGTTGATATTTGAAAGGGGTTGAAGTTGTTTTGTTTTAGATCTTAGATGATCTTGAAATTGAAAACCAATGCAATGGTATTTTGTTTTAGTGTTATCTGTTGTTTTCTTTGCTTCAGTTAGCATATTTTTATTCATTATTTGTTATTGATATTGTTCATTTCCCTTTTTTCTTTGTTTCTTCATTGTTGTATTACCTCTCCAAACATGTTTTGATATATTTTAGTTGAGCCGAAGATCTTTCGAAAAAGGTCTTTCTACCTTTACAAGGTTGAGGTAAGGTCTGCATATACACAACCCTTCCAATACTCTTTTTTCTTTTACAGCTATGGTGTCTGGGCCAAGTTGCGCGCACCTCGGCTAAATCCACAAGATAACTCCCACCTCGACCCTTCCAGTATTCTCTCTCTTTTACAACTATGGTGTCCGGGCCAAGTTGCGCGCACCTCGGCTAAATCCACGAGATAACTCCCACCTCAACCCTTCCAGTACTCTTTCTCTTTTACAACTATGGTGTCGGGGCCAAGTTGCAAGCACCTCGGTTAAGTCCACGAGATAACTCCCACCTCCGACCAGGAATAGGTATTAGGTAATTCTAGATGCAAAGGCTAGAACATATGAAAAAAAATCTTATGATGTTTTGTCACGATTTGAACTTGAGATCACCTCATGGTGATTAACCCATTGACCAGTGGGCTACATCCTTGGGCAGCAACTAGTACTCCTTTTGTTCTAGTTTACAACACTGTTTCTTTTTTAGCCTTTTCCAAAAGTAATTTTTTTTAATACTAGTACTTACTAGTCATTACATAGTAACAAATGAGTATTTTCAAGTTTTTAAAATATCATTCACTTTATTCAAACTCAATTTTCATATTTGAAATTCAAAATCTACTTCTTCAAGCTTGCAACAATGGAAATACTTAATCCAAAACAACTTATGCATATAATATTAGAAAAAAACAAAAATTCATAAACATAAAAACATCAATTAACTTCAATTCCAACCACTATAATGAACAATACTCAGGTTACCACAACGTACTCACCACAGAGTGCTCATGAACCGAAAGGCAGAGATTGTGACAGAGGTTGTGGATTTCCCAAAAAAAATAAAAATTAGCTCCAACTAAAATAGAAATCAAGATTTCCACCAGAAAAGAGATACAATCCATCTGGCCTAGCATGCCAACTACACAAATGCCCTTTGTTACACACAGCATTATAATTGTCATAATCAAAGACATAGAAAAAGCCTTTCTTGCTGAAATCAGAAGTGTGCATGTCACAACTTGCTAATGTTGGTTTAATATTAATATCAACATTCCATCTTATATGAGAATTTGGTTGAAGTGTTGTTTGTGGAACATCTTTGTCTTGTGAATTGCACACTAAAATTAATGGATCTTTCAAATCATTAATCACTTGCCATGACCAAATTTCTGACTTTACAATACTTGATGATTGTAGTAGTAGCAATAAATAAATTATTGGTAGAAAGTTGATGAAATTTTGGGATTTGGAAAGAGGGGGTTTCATAGTCACACTCCGAAGTATTGCCTTTTTTGTTCTGAGTAAGGGTAATGTTTGCTATCGCCGCGTTGGTATTTCTCTTTTTTTGGTTGTTTTGTTTTCCTTTTGTATTGTTCATTTTTATAGTACATGTTTGGATAGTATAGTATCTTTCATTTAAGATTTTGATATGCCTAAAAAGGAAATTGTATTAATTATATATCTCCTTGAAATAGTCAGGTAAAATTGGAAAATAAATCATTACAATAAAGTAACAATATCTTTCTCTTGTGATTTTGCATACTAAAAGCAATGAATCTTACAAATTATTGATCACTTGTCATGACCAAATTTATGATTTTTACAATAATTGGTGATTGTACATATTTGGAGATTGTGATGATTCATAATGGATAAGATAGTATCTATCGTTTAAGGTTTTGACGCGCCTAAAAATGAAATCGTATTAATTATATATCTTCTTGAAATAATTAGGTAAAATTGGAAAATAAATCATTACAATACTTTATTTTAGTTTTTTAAAAGTGGAAATATTTATAAGTAACAATATCTTTCTCTTGTGATTTTGCATACTAAAAGCAATGAATCTTGCAAATCATTGATCATTTGTCATGACCAAATTTATGATTTTTACAATAATTGGTGATTGTACATATTTGGAGATTGTGATGATTCATAATGGATAAGATAGTATCTATCGTTTAAGGTTTTGACGCGCCTAAAAATGAAATCGTATTAATTATATATCTTCTTGAAATAATTAGGTAAAATTGGAAAATAAATCATTACAATA